TAACTGCTCTATTTATTTGCATCTAGCATAAGCAGAAGCACAAAGTTATTACTTTAGTATTTCCATAATTCGAATGTAATCAATTTCTCATTTTTGAATTGTATTTTAAAGCTTTGCACATATCATTTTAATTAAATATTTCAAATGTAATTTTGACCTGAATCTTAGTTTGAATTTTCAAATAATAATGTCATTTCAGGATAGTCCTTAAACAAGTTCTGAGAAAATCCAAAATTCTATCTCAATTTCAAGCAATTCTTCAAAAAACTAATTCCGCTGCGAAAAAAGACTGACTTTTAGTTACAGGACTCTGATTCAAATACTGGCTTCATAATCATTTAGATTAGCTTCTAATCACTAATGACAGTTAATGATGAGTATTTTGTCAAATTCGTCTTAAACTTCTTTGATAATCTTTTTTAATCACTAAAATGAATATATTTTAATAAATCTAAATGATTATAACTAATTATTTGGAATCAGAGTAATTGCTAGGTGAAGATTACTTGCTAGGTAGACTTTTAGCAGGCAACAGCTCAATTACAATTTTTTTATTTTGAAAGAATTAATTTTCAAGTATTTTACATTTTATGCTTATGAAACGTCGAAAAAATTAAGATTTAACAAGCATATAGTGAAAAAAGTAGAGAATCTGTTTATGTAAGATTTATAATTTTTATATTACATCAGCTTGTTTAAAGTAATTACTTTTGAAAACGCTTGATTTGTGGGTAGGAAAAAAGTATGAAAACCATTCCATGATGAACTTCCGAATATTACTAAGGCGATGTCCGGTGCTCGATCCAATACATCTCTCATTTCGCTGTAAATAAATTTACATTTTTCGTTAATTGGTTGATGAATAAAGGAGCTACAGAAGTCATCTCAAATACAGTTTTAATAAGATTCATAAGATTCTTAACAAGATTAATAAGTCTTATTTATTAAGTAGTAATAATCTTGACAAAATTGGAACAAATTTTTTCGTACATAATTATGATTTTTAAATTGTTAATTACTGCTGAAATTTGCAAAAAAAAAAAAATTACTCTTCAACATTGTAATTACTTATATTGAAAGATTATGAATTTTCGAAATATTTTGTCATAGTTGTAATTTTAAAATATACCTTAGGTCATGATTATTGTATGGTCGATCAACAAAAGCCATTTGATCGTTATCTCTTACAAAAGATAAGGCTGTGCCTGGATAAGGTCTATATCCGATTGGTGTACAAATTTTATACAAATACTGTTCTCCAGAAATGATTCCCCATTCATTAGCCGCATGATTACAGAGCATTCCATTATTTGCAAAATAATACTAAGATATTATATGGTTTCATATGAAATAAAATGGATATATTTCAAAAAACCATACTCAAATAGTCATATTAATGAAATTATCAAAACTCAAGTTGTGCATAACATTACTGATCTGCTTAATATTATAAATAAAATTTTGATTACAACTCAATACAGTTCGATTTAATTAAATGTAATATAAGATCTGATGAAGATTTGATGCAATTATGATTTTGCAGACTATTATAAAGATGAAATTAATTTACGTAATTTCCAGGAGTGGCAATAAATTGTGTTATGTACATATATCCACTGTTGATTGTACTGCGAATTAATATTTGTTTATCCCATATTCGGTTCTCACCAAGTTCATGAATTTGTGTATCTACTAGAGAAAAAGATTTACTTACTAAGAAAATTTTAATAGATAAAAATAGTCAGAGTAATTGGTAAGTAACAATCTTCGTAATATATTTCCGTAAAATATTAATTAAATGATATTAAATGATTAATTATAGACACAATTTTTATCAAGTACAAGCCTATATGTGCTAAAACTTCTTTCTGGCTCATGGCTCGAATATCAGGATTATAAATGAAAACATCGTCAACTGGTGCAAAAACTGTAATTGGAGCGTTTGAATCTTGCATGTAAGCCTTCGCAACTGTATATCGAGCACACAATGTACGCCACTATAAATTATTACTTCATTCAATAATTATTCATATTTAAAAAATATTAATTTAAATTAAAAAAGTTTATAATAATTTTAGCATTTTCATCAATTTTATTTAGCAAACAATAGCAAAAATTATTAAGTTTGCAACCTGTTTCAATGAATGCATTCGTTCTATTTCGCTCCACAAATTTGCTTCTTGCATTGCAATATGCAAAAAAATAATGCCAATGCTGATAAAACATTGCTTTGCTATTTGATACATAACAATTGCAGCTACATGCAATTTCTGAGCTAAATTTATTCGTACTATTTATTTGTGGTAATAATCTAAAAAAGTTTATCTATTTGTTATCAAACTTGGTGAGTAATTTTAGATTACATCCAGCTATTCTTCTATTTATCATTAAATGAACAAATGAATGAAAATTAAATGACTTAAATTCAATCATAATTTTTACTTATGACTTAAATTCAATTATAACAGTTTACAACTAATTAACTGTTCAAAATTATAACTGTTCAAATGACTTATATTTGCAGGGATTGAAGCAGAATATTACTAGTTCAAAATAAATTGACTTAATTGTATATAAATTGACAGAATATTATAAATTGACTTAATTGTCATTGATTGATTAAAGTGAATCAAAATAACCGATTGAATGAATCAATTTAAACTATCAAAATATGTAATAAACGTTCTAAGCAAATGTTTCAAAACCTTTGAGAAGTTTTTACTGCTATAATACAGCAAACTTGTTAAGCAAACAGTTCATACATACATAAGACACACTGAATGCACACACACCCATACACATCCACACACATCCACACACACACACATGCACATATATATAGATAGTATTCTAGACGGCAAGAATGA